CGCGTCAGCGTCCTCCTCCTGTCCCTGGCACGCACCGGATGTCACTGCGTCCGTCCACTGCCCCTCTGCGTGCCCCTTTGCCTTCTCCTCCTGCTTCCTCTCTTCCTGCTCTTGCCGACCCGGAGTCGGACTCTCTTCGTGCTGCCAGTCCTACTGTCACGCGTCTCCTTGCTACTGCTGTCACTGACCCTTCCTTCGAGTCGTCTGCTGCGTCTGCCCTTGTCACTGAGCTTGTCGACTTTGCTGCTCGCTGTCGCCTAGACTACGCTGCCAGTCTTGTCGCTGAGTCTGAGTCTGCCTGTCCTCCGTCCGTCGGGGGTGAGTGTGCCCTTGGCACGGACGTCCTTGAGGACAGGCAGGAGGAGTTCCAGTGTCTGGCCGCCGCTTCACCTCATCTCGCGTCTGTACTGCTAGCCCCTGAGGGAGACCCGGATGCACCAGACATCCCGACTCCGCGCTCTTACGCGGAGGCGATAGAGGGTCCCTACTCCTCTCAGTGGCAGGCAGCTATGGATGCAGAGATGGCTTCCTGGAAGTCCACAGGCACCTACGTTGACGCTGTTCCCCCTCCTGGGGCGAACATCGTCAGTGGCATGTGGATTTTCAGGGTGAGCGGCCGCCGGGTTCTCCGCCTGTCTTCAAGGCGCGTTACGTGGCTCGTGGCTTCAGTCAGCGGCAGGGGGTTGACTACTTTCAGACCTTCTCCCCCACCCCGAAGATGACCACTCTTCGGGTTCTGCTGCACGTTGCTGCTCACCGTGACTACGAGCTGCACTCTCTCGACTTCAGCACCGCCTTCTTGCAGGGCAGCCTGCACGAGGAGATCTGGCTGCGTCGCCCACCTGGCTTCACTGGGTCTTTCCCTCCTGGTACCCAGTGGAGTCTCCGGCGTCCAGTCTACGGTCTCCGCCAGGCGCCACGTGAGTGGCACGACACACTGAGGACTACGCTGGCGGCACTTGGGTTTGCTCCCTCCACTGCAGACCCGTCGCTGTTTCTGCGCACCGACACCTCTCTGCCGCCGTTCTACATCCTCGTGTACGTCGACGACTTGGTCTTTGCCACAGCTGACACTGCTGGACTCGCCTACGTGAAGTCCGAGCTGCAGAAGAGACACACGTGCACTGACCTGGGTGAACTGCGCAGCTACCTTGGCTTGCAGATCACCCGGGACAGAGCACGCCGCACCATTACCCTGACTCAGTCACACATGGTGCAGCAGGTCCTTCAGCGCTTCGGCTTCACGTACTCCTCGCCTCAGGCCACTCCTCTGCCTACTCGCCACTCGCTCTCAGCTCTGCCTTCGGATGAGTCCGTAGAGTCGAGTGGCCCGTATGCAGAGCTTGTTGGCTGCCTCATGTACCTGATGACCTGCACACGACCTGACCGTGCATACCCTCTTAGCATTCTCGCACGCTATGTTGCTCCTGGGAGACACCGACCAGAGCACATGGCTGCAGCGAAGAGGGTGTTGCGCTACTTGTGCAGTACGTCGGGCATGGGGCTAGTGCTTGGAGGGCGCAGTCCAGTGGTCCTCACTGGGCACGCAGACGCTTCTTGGGCTGACGACCAGGCTACGCAGCGGTCGTCACAGGGTTACACCTTCAGCCTTGGTTCCGGCTCTGTTTCGTGGCGGGCTACCCGCTCGTCTTCTGTTCTCGGCTCCAGTTGTGAGGCTGAGATCTACGCTGGGGCTATGGCTGCACAGGAGTTACGCTGGCTCACCTAACTGCTGACCGACCTTGGAGAGCAGCCTCGTTCTCCTCCAGTGCTGTACGTAGACAACAAGGCCATGCTGGCCTTGTGTCGAGAGCAGCAACTGGAGCACAGGACAAAGCACATTGCTCTCCGCTACTTTCTTGCTCGTGAGCTACAGCAGCGTGGACAGTTGCGACTTGCGTACGTGGCCTCTGAGGCCAACACTGCTGATGTCTTCACCAAGGCACTTGCGCCTTGTGATCATCAGCGTTGTTGCACGCAGTTGGGTCTTGTGCCTGTCCTACCTCACTTGCTCACTTCTTGACTTTGCTTGTACCTTCTGCTATATATACTCTTGCTCTTGCTCGCTTGACTCTTGTATATCTTTATATATGATCTTGCATGTGAACTGGCCTTGTGGCCCTTGAACTTGTGCTCGGAATGTGTGGTGACTTTGTGATCCACCCTGAGCTTTGCTTTGCTTTGCTTGACTGGTCTTGTGACCCCTTGTTCTCCCCCACTTTGCCTATGGGGGTGTGTCAGAACATTGTAGCTTACTCATTTCTGTAGGCTATAGTGGGGTATCCCATAGGGGGTACAACCCAATTAGGGTTTCATATTTGTACCCACTTCATTTCATAGTCATTCATTCTCGTTCTAAGTTTCTCACCATTGTGTCCGAACAGTCGGCTGCGCTCCAGGTTCCAGCTGGATTTTGTGGTCCTCAGGTCTCTCGGGTGGCAGTCCAGGTGGCAGGTCGTCGGGAAAGATGTCCGGGTACCTCCGAATCAGCTCCGCTAAATCCGGTGGTACTGCTGCACACAACTTCTCGATGTCCTTTCCCTCGGTGTCGAGTGCCAACTCGCGTAAGCAAACAGCGAACAGCTGCGCGCCCTTGTTGAAGTGGCGAGCTATAGTGATAGCTTTGACGCACGGCGCTTGGATGTAGTCAAGGGTCCATGCAGGTAATTTTATTAACCCCTCGTGCTTGCTGATGCTACACGATCCCGTCGTCCAGTCGATAACGGGGTTGTGTCGTCGCAGCCAATCACGTCCCAGCAGTATGTTGCAGCCATCCAATGTTGTCGCGAGAAACTTCATGCTGAAGCCGAAGTCGTCGCCGCAGTCGATCCTGGCCGTCCGTGTTTCTTCCGTTATCGCCAGAGGCGTCCCATCCACGAGGCGGGCGTCAATTTCGGGCAGACACCTGTCGAGTTGCAGCTTGCATTTTTTTGCGCTCGCCAAGTTGAAGAGGCTATGGCTGGCCCCCCCATCGACGAACATTTTCAGATGATTTTTTAACACCTTGTCAGCGACCAGCACAGGGTGATCCACATGATTATCCCCGTTATTCGGCCGAGTGCGATCGAGTGCATGAATCGGAACCACGACTCGGTGGGGATGATGGTGTTCGGGCGACGGAGCACAGTCAGTAAAGGGCCCGCTAATTACTGACTCTTCCCATTTCCCTGCTCCTTCCTGTCGTCCCCTGTCAGCGGCATTTTCTCCTGGCATTCGTTCCTGTAGTGACCCACCTTCCCACACCGAAAACACGGACCCTTAGGAGGGTGGTCGGGTGTATGGACGGCGTTGATCGTGGCCCGATGGGTCTGGCCACGAAAGCTTCTCCCATCCCTGGAAGCTGCTCTCGCGTACTGCATCAGCGCATCAGTTGACTCCGCCACACGTACTGCTTCGAGGAACGATGTCGGGCGGCTTCGACGGACCTCAAACTGTATTTCATATTTAAAGCCGCTGACGTATTTATCCAACCGCTCTGCTTCTGACATGTCATCGATCTGGTCGGCGAAGCCCATAAATGACGCCGTGTAGTCTTGGACAGAAGCCATCTGCGACCATGCACGCAGCTTCATGCGAGCTTGCTCCGAGGCGGATGCGTGCTCGAAGCGATCTCGTAAGGCTGCGCCCCACTCCTTCCATGTGCGTATCTTGGTCACACCGAAGATCGGTTCTGCCACTTGATTAACCACTGTAGTCCCGTCTGCCGCATGTGTCACACCTGTCGAAGTCCCTGTTTCTAAGGTTCGGCGCCACCATTCAAGCGCCGCGCCCCGAAGAAGTGAAACCGCGTAATTAATACGCGTGGCATCGTCGTTAACGCCTGCTGCCGTTAAGAAGACCTCAACACCGAACAGCCACCCTTTCACTGTAGTCGTCTTGTCCGTAGGATTAAACGGGGGCGGGTTGACAGGTTTGATCTTGATCGTTGTAACTGCAACTGGCGCTGCTGCCGCTCGCTGCCTATCTTCTTCTTCGAAGTCACGTGTGAGAGCATCCAGCGGGTTGCTCATCGCCTGACTGTTGCCCTCGCCTTCGTCCACAGGCGACTCCTGACGCGCTTCACCTCGCGTCTGGCGTAGCTCGGCGTTTTCCTCTCGTAGTGTTGTCACTTCCGCCATTAATGTCTTCATGCTCTCCTGCATTTCTGCCACTTGCGCCATCATCCGGTTAACAGCCTCCTGATCCATGTGCCTAGCACTACGTCTGGTGGGCAGTCGGGTCTCCGTGGCCTTCAGGCAAGTGAAAACACGAACTATTGGAGTCGGGCAGGATTGAATTAACAATCCCTGTAGCCAACCGTCGTGTAGTCACTAAACCAACCACACCCTATGCCACCAAACTACCCTCGGAAAAGCGGGGTGAACTAGGAAAGTAGCTCTGATACCAGGTGTTATGAGTTGTAAAGGAGAGTGCGCAGGTAAACGAATAACGAGGCTGTGACTGAATGAACTGCGAATACAATGAATGCACAGACTAATGTAGGGCTAGCCTGCCTAGGAGGGAACCTCGGGAAATGAGGTTGGGTGCAGGTTTGGCGATAGACATGCCGAAGGCGACGCGAGGAGCCTCGGCAGCGTTGAAATCGGCCGAACGTGCGAACTCCGAAAATCGGGTTGTACGCGAAGCAGTCAACCCCGATAAGGAATTCAGGAAAATTCCTTACATTCAGACTTCCCCGACCAACAGCTCTGCCCCAACGGTTTGCTTTGGGGTTCTTCGCTGCTTGAAGCAAAATGACCGTTCCCGCCACTCGCATACCTACTCCCCGCTCCACCGCACCACCCTCCCTAGACTTTTCCACATTCAGTAGTGAGATCGAACTTAGCCACCCCACCAGCACTCTTTCATTGGAACTCGGATAAGGTTTCAGAGGTTAAGGGATGTCCAAACGCAGGACTACATGTTCATGCCTAGCGTGATATACGGTGCGTAAACGTTGAACTGAAGCGACGTATGTACTTCACAGTGAAGATCCCGGTCGTCAGACGGTCGTCGTGCGGATGTCCTTGGGCAGCGGTTCTCCCTTGGCGCCGAGCGTGTCTCCCCCCGCGCGGTGGGGTGGCGGGCAGCAGTGCGTGCTGCACGAGGTGACGCGCTTCGACACCCTGGCCGGCATCGCCATCCGCTATGGCGCCCAGGTGCGCCCACCCGAGCCCAGCTCTCCTCGTGCCCCACCTAGATATTCTCGTCATTACTGCCGTGTCTTGTGTGCTTCACTCTTACCTCCGCCTTTCTGCGCGGAACTACAGCATCGCTCTCCGCTGCTGTCAGCCCGATAATCTGTGTGTCTCGCGTCTCGCTGTACAAGGTTCTACTCGTGCAATATCTGTGTCTGTAGAAAGTTCTCTCCGCTGCTGTCGCCCGAACACCGACCCGCCACATGAGCACGCAGCCAGTGCGTGACAGCATCCTCGCTTCACTCTGTGCAAGATTCTTCCTCTCTCGCCCTCCCGCCGTCTAGCATGCCCTCCTCGTGTGCACCTCGTCACTCTCCTTCCCGCCGACCCTTCCCAAGCGCACGTCTATCTCCTGCATCGAATTGAACCATTCCATGCATGCATCGTGTTTCCATCCCGCCTCACTCATGCGCTGCGCACCGTGCGCGGTGTGCGGCGAGCAGGTGGCGGACATAAAGAAGGCGAACCGCATTTCGACGGACTCGCAGATGTTCGCCATGAAGTTCATCCGCGTTCCGCTCTCCGCCTCGCTCTCCGCCTCGCCTCCGCTGCTCTCCCCCACCTCGTGCAACCGTGCCAGGTCAGCGTCGCCCTGCGCGTGCTGTTTGCGGATTGCAACCCACCCACGTGATCAAGCTCCGGTTGCTCCTGCTTTCACTCGTCTCCATGCTCAACCCTCATCATTGCAAGGGCCAAGCTGTGATCCCCTCCCCGCCACCACCGCTGCTCCCCTCCCCTCCCCTCTTGCTCATGACCCTTCCCCCTCTCTCTCACCTGCTTCCCCCTCTACCCTCACCCCTTCACGCGGGAGGCACCATTGTTCATTTGAATTGGATGGACCCTCCCTCCCCTCCCCTCCCCTCCCCTCCCCTCCCCTCTCCTCCCCTCCACCCCCCCTCTCTTTCCACGTTACCTCTCTCACTGTCTCGTGCTGTCCCTCTCGTTATGGCACCCCCCTCCCTGCGCCCCCATCTTGCCACCCTCGTCAACCCTCCCTCTCGCAGTTCCAGTCACGCGGGGAGCAGCCAGCAGCGCACAGAGCAGCACGGCACGGGCAGCTCGTCGCCAGCAGCCACCACCAGCGCCGCCATGGCCAGTGGCAGCGGCAGCGGGGGCGGCGCGGGGTCGCTGTCGGAGGCCATCCTGCAGCTGGTGTCGGCGCAGGCAGCCGCGGAGCACGCGGAGGCGCACAGCCGCAATCTGGCGGCGGCAGAGGCGGCGGGGCGGGCGCGCGCGTCGACATTCTTCTTCGTGCAGATGCGCGAGGCGGAGCAGTACGTGTCGTCCGAGGGCGAGGAGCCCTCTCCCCCCTGCCAGCGCGGCACGTCCCTGTCCGAGGGCGAGGGCGACGAGGGCGGGCGGCGCCTGTCGTGGCTGGGCGGAGGGGTGGGGGGGTTCTACTCCGGCGCCCAGGGCAGAGGCGCTGGTAGAAGCACGTGGACTGGGGAAGCCAGACAGACCAGCGCACAGGAGTTTGGGTGGGGCTTGGGCGTGCAGGAGGGAGGTGGGGGAACGAGCACTTGGCGAGGGGGATATGGTAGCGAGGGAGAAGGGGGGTGGGCGAGTGGGGAGGAGGAGGTGGGAGGCAGAGGGGTTGGGGCGTCTAGACGACGGCGGACGGAGCAATCAGCAAGCGGGAGTAGAGCAGGCGGGGACGGGGGACTGGGAGTGTGGGGGCTCATGTCGTCATCAGGGCCGCGGCTGTTCGTGCGGGGTGGGCATGAGGGGGCAGGGTCGCGCACAGCAGCGGCGAATCTGGGGGCGGCAGCGAGGTGGGGGGGGAGAGTGGTGGAGGATCTGCTGTGGCGCTTCCACAAGTCCACCAGCTTCTCCACCTTCGAAAACGCCGGCCTGCTCAACGCCTCTGCTGTTGCTGGGGGCCTCACGCGCTCCCCTCTGCGCCGCGACCCCAGTGGCAGCCTGAGCGCGGGCATCGACCTGCCCTCCACTCGCAGCTGGTCTCGCCCGTCGTCCGTCGCAGCCGCTGTGGAGGTGGGGGGCAGCGGTGATGGGTCAGTGCTGCTGGGCTGCAGCACGCCCATTAAAGGGGGTGAGGGTGGGGTGTGTGACGATGGCAGCAGCACAGCGGTGGGCGGATCTGCTGTTTACGGGAGTGTGACACGGCGAGGTGTGAGCAGCAGGCGGGGCAAGGGTGTGCCTGCTGACATCACTGGCTGAGCACCTGGTATGACTCAGTATTACGGTACTACCGTACTATCCAGATAAAGCAATCAACATCGCCTCGCCACGAAAACGTCCCAAATGAGATGGGTGCACAGTTCAAGTGCCCATCATCCTAGGCTATACAGTATTCCTGTTCATTATTTAGCGCTGGACGTTTTGATGAGTGGGTCCTGTTGCCTGAATGTAGACAACCATGACAGCTCTATCTCCCTGACATCAAAGCTGCTTTTGGCAGATGTAAACTAGAGTTGGCTAACAGGAGCAGTGCAAAGCTGGCTCAGCTAAAAATTTTACTAAACCATAAAACGATATCACTTTACACAAAGAGGCACAAAGTTGAAAGGCTTTGTGGGGACATAGCCCAAAGAATGGTGGGGCACTTGCCAATCCACAGCTCTCTAAAAGCAGCAGTGGGTGGAAGACCTGCCAACGCCACAGCAACAATTCAGCAGCATGCGCTGACTCCATGTGGCTACCGGGTAACAGCAGGAGGCCGAAGCAAGCCTAGTAGCAGGAAGAACAGAAAGCCCACTAGCCAAGTTCACACTTGCCCCCTCATGCCGCAGTAAGCTCACAGCCAGCCCAAAGGCACCAAACACGAGCAGGCAGCAACAGTGTGTCAGCTGTCGCCAATGGCCGCAGCTGTCACACGTCAGCTCCTTCTCCCAAGCTCGTCTCGCTGTCCGCCTCTGCCTCTGGCCATACTAGGCCCTCCCGCTGCCGCTATGCCGTTTCTCTGCATGTCGCTTGGGAGGCAACGGCCAGTGATGACTGCCCACGCGTATGTGACCTTGTGCGACGAGCTCAGCATCCGGTAACGCTGGCACACACACTCCAGCTGCTGCATCAGGCTCACACAAGCACGTCGCCCGCCACACCCTGCAGTTCCCCCCCGCTTTCCACTCAGCATCAACAACACGAAGCACTGCACACAACCGAGCACAACCGAGTAACTTCAGCGCACACACTACCATTCACCACCCCCACGCGAATTCCTTCCCTCGAGACCACGCGTTTGCTACTATCCTGTCCTCCCGCGTCCGTGTGATTCGCCAATTCGTCCTTTTCATGGTTACGTCAGCATGCGCTGGCTCTCAACTCACGCGCACGGAATTAGTCGAAATTGCAGCCCCATCCATACTAGCTCCATGCGGCTCTTGAATTGCCTAGTCCCGCTGCGGCGGCGCTTGGTGCGCGGTGGGGCGCGCGTCGAAGACGCCGTCGATGAGGTGGTCGACGGCGGCGTCCAGCCAGTGCAAGCACCCGCGCGCCAGGATGTCCGACACGTGTCGCTTCGACCGCCACGCCACGGCGTACCCCGCCGACACCGCGGCTGCGCCGACGCCCAGCGAGAGCGCGGGGAGCAGCGCGCTGCGGTCGACGGCGCTGAAGATGCCGTTGCCCGTCGCAAACTCTACCAGCAGCGCCAGCGCCAGCGCCACCTGTGGCGGGGAGGGGAAGGGGGGAGGGAAGGCGACCGCGGAGGAAGCCGGGCGCTGAGTGCAATGCACAGAGGAACATTCCCCTGCGACCAAAAGCCTCAAATTTTCAGAAAGCAGGATGCGCGTCGCGCTGATTCGACTCACCATGGCGGCCCGGCCGGCGACGGTCTCGAGGTCCTCGACCTGCGCGGACGCCTCGACGGTGGCCATGAGCAGGTCCGCCAGCTGCTTGCCGTGCCCGTCCTCCACCACGCGCACCGCCAGCGCCACGGGCCGCACGGCCGCCTCGCCCGTCGACGACTCGTGAAAGTCCTCCAAGTGGCACAGCCGTGGCACCACCTGCGACTCGGGGATGGGCGCCGCGCTGAAGTCGCCTATCGACGCGCTCAGACCCGTACGAGCACGGTTAGCGGCGGGGCGTTGTCTTTGCGAAGTGGAGGGCGAGGACGCGAGGACGGCTGAGATGGCGTGCCGTAGGACTAGCGATTGGGCCATCGCGTCGCGAAGTTTGGCTGTCAGAAGTGTCGATTAGTCGCGGAGGGCAGGAAGTCACTAGATAGTTGTCAAGGGGACCAACGAAAAGACAGCAGTGAGCACAAGCGTCAAGAGGGCTGGCGTTGCAGACAAAGTTAGTGCTTGGTTGAGCTTGGTCTGGTGATAAGAGAGCAAAGAAATGAGTCTGGTTGATTGTATCCTGTTCCGGTGTGGTTCCTATGTAGTACATGACTAGTCGAGGAGAACTCGCTGGTTGGCAGAGGAGAGAGGGGTTGATTGATCTCGCTGTCAGATGCGGCGCGCCTTCTCAACCCGTCGTGCAGTTCAACGCTCAAAGAACGCGGGCAACTGCGTTGTTTCCGACGGGCTGCCCAACTTCATTGATGTTTAGGGTAAAACACCAGGTCTCGGTACGGCTGCAACACAGCCTGCTGTATCCTAAGTGTCAGATGCGGAAAGTGTCGTACAGTATTTAGAGAGAAAATCTATATTTTGCTCGCGATGTAAACCGGTCACCCAAACACCACCAAGACACACATGAAACCCACACCACCGAAACACCCAAGCAGGAAACCCGTCACCCAAACACCACCAACACACATTTCAGCGACTCTTGCCAGCTGGTGTGTGTCGGTGATTGGAGTGGACGGTTTTTGCTTCCGCAACCCACTACCACCGTTGAAATCAAGAAAAGAAGGTGTCGGTAAGAGCTCGTACGATCAAGATTTACGAAGAAAATTACGCATTCCGTAGCTGCAATCACCGCACGATAAGGACTCGATGAATTTCCCGCCTGAAAAATGATGTGGACTGCTTTCTACCAGCACAGCTTGCTACGATCTGACGTGTAAGGGCACGTGTAGAGCTGAGTCCAGCGGTGTAATTCTGAAGTGTCCCTCGTTGGCAGCTGTGCTTGACTGTCCCCTTGATCTAGCAGTGTTGTACAGTTGCATCATTGGTGTAAGGCTTATTTTAAATAAATAATAGCAACAAACAACACAATCCAAACTGTATGGTTTCTACCTGAAGTCACACCTCGACAGGCAAGGCAAGGGAGTGTGTTGCAACAGCTGAGGAGCTGCTTCCCTCACCAAAATGTTTCTCACTCAATTAGTATTCATACCCTCTCTCTCTTGTGTAGCTCGCATCCATCCAACCAAATCCGCATCTGAAAATGCTTAGGCATAATATTATTATCAGACTTTGGGAGAGGGTCCCGTACATTTCAAGACTAAATGGTATTTGCACAAGGAGGTAGCAGCATTTCAAGCAGAGATGTCGAACATCGGCGTTTGCGTGGTATTAGCTGCCACCTTAAAACAACTTCCACCCGGGGAAACTACCAAATTGTGGAATGGCAGATGCAGACGATGAGGATGAGGAGGTGGGGAAGAGGGTGGTTGGTGTGCGCTCAAAGAAGGCCAGCGGCACCGCCTTCACTCGCCGCCCCAACTGGTGGGTGGAGGAAAGGATAGAACAAATCACAGCAAGAGAACACATTCAGCACGACAGCTTATGGGTGTGTAGCATGGATTGCGTTGCAAATTGTGAGCCGGGTTGACAAAAACTTGCAGGGGAAAAATGCACTGGCAAACTGTTCAAAAAGCATTCCCCAACCAAGATGACTGCACGTTGGCTTGAAGAAAAAAGGAAACTTGATCAGGGGCTCTGCACCTAGCCTTCTCTGCCCCGTGACACCAATAAATGCAGCTCTGCCTCTGTGCAGCACCATGCACGGCACACTGCCCACCGCACTGCACTCTACTGCGCTGTGCTGCGCTGCAATGCACTAACCTGCACGGCAGGGCACGGCACGCACCTCGTCGGCCATGATGGTGCCGTAGGAGGTGGCGGAGAAGTCAGCGACGTTGAGCTCCACCGTGCTGCTGCGCTCCGACAGGTCCTTCTCCAGTGACGCCACGAACCTGCTCCCACGGAAGAAGGCGGAAGGGGGGGGGGGTGGGCGGAGAAAGAGAGGCGAGACAAGGGAAGGAAGGCCATGTGCTGAAGAGGAATGGAGGTGGTGGTGAGGTGAGCACGACCAAAGGATGCGGGCGCTCAAGCCCAGGTAGGGTGGAGAAGGGAAAGAACGCATTGGTTTTCAAGGAAGAGGGGGGTTGAAAGCAGCAGGAGTTTGGGGGAGAGTACCGTGAGACAGCGGGGCAGTAGTGGCGCTGCAGTGCCTCCACCTCCCACAGGCTGCTGTCTGTGAGGTGGGGGTGAGGGCGGGCACGCACAGACACAAGAGCGGGGAAGCCAAGGGAGTGTGTGTGCAAGCTTCTGCTACTCGTGTGTGCGTGTCGTGCAAGGACCCGATGCTCACAATCTATCACCTAATGTAATGGTTTTGAGCGTACCAAGGGCGCGGGCAGCCATGAGGTCGGTAGCATCCTCATCAAATGGATCCCTCCCTGTCGCCCTCCCCTCTCTGCCTCCCTCCTCCCCTGCTCCTGCTGCGCTCTCTCCACTCCCTCCTCCTTTCCCTTGGCCGTCTTTTCTCCCCCTTCCCTCCTCTCCAGCTGAACCCTCCTCTCCATCAGCATTTCTCTCCTCGCCTTTGCCATTCCCCGCCTTCTCCCCTTCCTTGTTATCCCCTTCCTGCTGGGCCTGCCCGTCCTGCCCTCGCTGCGTGCTTTGCTTGTCTTCCCCTTCATCCTCCTCGTCACTGCTGCTGTCCTGCAATGTTCACACCACACCACACCACACACGCACAAGAGCGTTGTGGAGTCAAGGCGCAACAACCACATCACATGATGGTACTCTGAAAAGAGAACGAGGTTGAAATGCCTGGGCACTGTGCACATTCCACAGCAGCAGCAGGAGGAGCTACTGTGGGGCAAGGGGAAAAGGCAGCCAGCACGGAGGCAAGGAGAAGGTGGTCCCATCCCATGGCCTCAACCTGCACCCCTACTGCCGGCCATGCCCAGACAGCCCCGCCTCACCTCGAGTGTGTGTGGCGCCTCACCTGGAATGTGTCAGGGGTGGCAGCGCGGTGCACGAGGGGGGCGATGGCGGGGTGGCGGCGCAGCAGGTTGTGGGCGAGCGCCACGACCACTATGGCGCCCGAGGGGGGTGCACAGAGCGACAGACGGAAGAGCTGCTTCGTGAAGGCTGCTGCCATGTACGCCGGGAGCAGAGGTGATGCCAGACTCAAATCCAGCAGCTGGGAGTGAAGGGGGCGTTGTTGGGGGAGCGGAGGAGAGAGGGGGACAGTGTGCATGGCTTATGCGGTTGCACCGCGGAGAAAAACGTGGTATGTGGCAATAAATGCCCGCGATGCCATGGAGGTGGTTACCATCATGGCATGGCATCTGGTGGCATGTGGCATGGCAAGGCACAGCACAGCGTGGCACCTCAAAGAACTTGGCGCGGTGGGTGGCGCGGAAGACGGAGGAGTCGAGCAGGCGATAGAGGCGCGGGTAGAAGTGCGGCGCCTCCAAGCCGTGCTCCGTCACCAGCCGGAACAGCGACGCCAGTGCTGCCACCGCACACGCCCCTCCCTGCTCGTACGATGCTGTGAGGAAGTCGCTGAGAGGTGGGATGGGTGACCACAGAGACGACGAGGGACAGGGGTGCAGTGGGACGTGTGAGGTGGTGGGGCGTGTGAGGAGTCACCACAGCACATGGCGCCAATGGGATGAGAATATACCATTGAGTGGGCAGGTGGTGGGGATAGTACAAGAAGAGCATATGGCGAGGGAGTATCATTGGCGCACAGGGGAGAAAGTGGACGAGACACTTCAGACATGCATTGGACGAGGTGAGAGGTGAGAGGGGTGGGGGGAGGGCAGGAGTGCACCTGAGCAGCAAGGGATTGGGCAGATGTGGGATGAGGTTGTGCAGTCGACCCAGCACCTGTAGCATGGTGGACGGCGCGCCAAGGGATGGGCCAGGCGAGAAGTCAATGTTGAGAAACGGAAGATGCCAGACAGGCTAAAGGTTTCATTGTAGCATGTGTGGAAGAGGGAGGGGGGGGGCGGGGGGGGAGGAGGGGAGGTGGAGACGTTGGGGCAGAAGGGGTGCGGGGTGTGACGAGGAGGCGGGGGTACCGACCTTCTTGTAGGCTTCGAGGGGCAGAGGCAGGGCGAGCAGCCCCAGCCACGCCCCTGCCAGTGCCTTGCGCTCCTCCCCCACCACCACTGCCCACCTCTCCTCCGCCTCCCCCTCCCCCTGCTCCCCCTCTTCCTCCCTCCCCCCCTCGTCTTTCATCCCCGCAGCCCGTTTCCTGCTGCGCTGCTGCCCTGCCTGTCTCCCTCGCTTGCCACCCACACTCTGCTTGCCCCCCCGCTGCTGCGCTCCCCCTGCGCTCCACAGGGGTTGGGGAAGAGACGAGCGCAAGGCAGAGCGGAAGTGAGGGGGTGGTGGCCAGGGAGATGAGCCCAAGTGAGAGAGAAGCGAGAACGGCAAGTGAGAGAGAAGCGAGAACGGCAAGTGAGAGAGACGCGAGAACGGCAAGTGAGAGAGAAGCGAACGGTGGGGACGCAACCCAAGGAAGGCAGCACGCACCAGAGGGGGGTGCAGGCAGCGCCCACGTGGAGAGCAACTCGTCCTGCTCGCCCCCGCCCTGCCCCACCTCCGCCAGCAGCCTCTTGCCGCCCGCCTTGGGGGCAGGCGGCATGGGCATGGCTAGCAGCACGTCCAGTATGTTGAGACACATGGCGTCCTGTGATTGGTGCGTGGAGGGAGTGGTTAGTATTGGGGAGAAGACAGGATAGGTGAGAAGAGAAGATCGCAGCACAGCAGGAGGTGTGAGGCGCAGCCAATGGGGATGCACGCACTGTGAGTGGAGGCGCTGGTGGTGTGGTACGTGATACAGGGAAGGGAAGCACATGGGCGGATCGGGTGGGGTGTGGGCAGGCGGACAACCACTCACTCTCTTGGCGGCAGCTGAGGGCGCTCGTGGATGCACGGTGGCGGGTCGGCAGGCGGGCACTCCACAAGGCAGGATCACGCGAGCAGCACGTGGCGTGTGGGATCAGATCAGGCACAGGTGGGTGTGGTGGCGGACGCACAGAGACGGAAATGGGAATGAGCGATGACACAGGGAGGCAGAAAGACAAACAATCGGGAGGGATTGTATTGAGAAAACGGGCAGCAATGGCTTGGATTGAAGCATGCATATAATTCGATTCACGGGGGGAGAGAGAGGGGCATGGAATGTGGTGTGTGTGCAGGCAGGTGGTGGTCCAACCCAACACAGTGCCGTGCAGCTGGCGTAAGTACCTGCATGCGCTCCATCCTGAGCCACGTTCGAGTGATTGACGGCAGCAGCAGCCATGGTCGCACACAACTGCTCCACTGCCCCGTACACATGCCGCCTGCCACCAAGTGGTGTGGGAGCGCGGGTGTGGGGGTGAGAGGGGCGGTGAAGGACAGTGATGGTGGGTGCGATTGGTGGTGGTGATGGGGACGGCACGCATGAGCAGCGGCACAACAGCATGCCATGTGCACCGCAGCGAGCACGCACCCACCTGACGTCAGCATGGGTGAAGAAGCAGGCAAACTTGGCGAGCACTGAGGGGTCGCCCGCCTCGCCCTCCACCTGAAAGGGGGGGAGAGGAGGAGACGGGGAGAGGGGCAAGTGGAGAGTTGGGGAAATGGGAGAGGAGACGATTGGCACTGACGGTCAGGGAAGAGCGGTTGGTTTGAATGGGCATGGCACGGCTCACCATGGGGGATGGCACGGCTCACCAGCGGGATGGCACAGCTCACCAGCGGGATGAGTATTTTATTGATGGTGGCGCCAGCCAGGCCGCCCTTCTTTTCCAAACGAGCCAGCTCCATCAGATGCTCCACTGCTATGCGCTGATGGAGGAGCGGTGGGGGAGGGGGTAGAGGGGAGGAAGAAGGGTAGGGAGGACCGTGGACATGCAGTGCAACCCGCACGCAATAGAGTGCATGGCATGGCACGTGCATTCGACCCCCCAGACCGCACTCACTACCCATCGCCACGCCCTTTCCCCTCTCCGCCTTCCTCCCGCCATGCTGCTGTATGCACCACCCTCGACTCCCTCGTCACCCTCCACTCCCCCACCATCCCTTCCGCAATGTGCCCCCAACATCACGTCCCTCGCGCGTATCTGCTTCCATTCCATGCCCGCCCCCTCCTCAACGCATCCTCCCGACCACCATGTCCCCCCCCCCCCCCACCTTGCTGGCGGCGCTGCTCTCCGCGGATCTGAGGCGCGCCTTGAGCGCGCCCGTGTACTCGCCATACCGCGCGCGCGCCCACTGCTGATACACCTCCTCTTTCGCCCGCTCCTCCCCCGCCCGCCCGCTCGCACCGCCCGCACGGTTGGCTGCCACGTTGCACGAAGGGAAATGGGGGAGGGGGGAGGACGGGGAGGGGGGGGGAAAGGGGGGGGTTGTGGTGGGGGAGGAGGGGGATAGGAGGGGCGCGTGAGAGGCGGGGAAGGCTGGCGCGGCGGCACTGGAAGTGAGGCTGCTGGCAGAGCCCCTTGCGTGCCGTCCGGCCAGGCAACGGCGCGCAATGGCGGAATTCCGCAACATGACGGGGGAGAGAGTGGCTTTCACGGGGAGACGGTAGGGACGGGGTTTATGAGGGTTCAGGGATTATACTGGAGGGCGGGGATTATGCGGAGCGGGGCGCAAGGGACATACCGGGGGCGGGGTGGAGGAGCAGCTCGTGCGAGCGGAGCAGCTGCGCGAAGAACGCCTGCAGCACCGTCACCGCCTCCGCCGCCACCGCGCCGTCGCGATGCGCCGCGAACCGCAGCAGCGCGACGACGTTGTTGACGTGCTCCCGCGACTGCAGCAGCTGCGCGCCGAGCCGCTGCACCTGCTCCAGCGGGGGCGCCTCGCGCACCACCATGGCGGAGCGTCGGGGGGAAACGACGGGGGGGAGGAGCGGCGGATAGATGGGGACCTCGGTGGCGGCGAAGGTGTTTTGAGACGTCTCAAAACACTCCTTTTTTCAAGCGGCGGATAGATGGGGACCTCGGTGGCGGCGAAGGTGTTTTGAGACGTCTCAAAACACTCCTTTTTTCAAGCGGCGGATAGATGGGGACCTCGGTGGCGGCGAAGGTGCGGCGCGCGAGTGAAGAAAGGCGCCGACGATGGTGAGCGGCGGGGCAACGGTGGGACTACAATCGGGACGAACCGGTGCGCTGCGTGACGGCTGCCGCGCGAAGCATAGATGATGAGATGAAGTTGGTGAACAAATGGTCTCCACTCCACAAAAGGGTTTATGGGCGGGGTTAGATTGGATCGAGGGCTTGTTTCAAGGAAAGCTGCTCCAGCCGAGCTTGCTGGGAGTGTCAGCAAACCAACTGATTCCCAGGGCTTTTATCTCGAACCTGTATGAAATATCAAAATATAAATACAACACTTGGTTCAGAAAAGTTTCCGGGAATGTATCAAACACGCCTTGCACGGATTATTGAGCACTTGGGGGTTCACTTGGAGTATTGATGAGGCGCTGTTGGGAACCCACGACTGCAATTAGCTCTTCTGCTGTCTACTCACTGCCCCTCTCGCACCGCCGTGACGTCAGCCCATCCTGCGTGCGTCGTGACGTGACGTCGACCTCGCGCCGTGCACCATCACTGCATATTCCCCGCCGCTCTCGGCCCCGCGCCATCCCTGGGGAAACCGCGGAGGGCATCGGTTCAATCGTCCCCTTTCTCGCGCCCCCACGCGCTCGTCGCCGGCAGCCGCACCACACCCGCTGCGCATGGTCCGTCGCACGCATCACGTCGCGTCACGCCACGTTGCGTCCCCGCACGTTGCGTCGCCTCGCCCCAATCCGCTTTCACCGCCGTGGCGCCCGAACCAGCCGCCGCGCCCGCTGCTGCGCGCCGCGTCGCTCTTTACCGCTGCCGTTTCAATTGTATCCCTTTATGCGTGCCTCCTGTTGACTCCCTCGCTCATTCTCGTTCGCCAGAAGCCGCCTTCACTCACCCGCTCGCTCATGCCAACTGTCCGCCCCTCCGCCACGCGCCCTGCTCCCCCCATCCCGTCCCCCATCACCCCTTTCCCTGGCCCCTCCAACCCCTGTGCAGTCGCGTCCGCCCAACGGCATGCGCGGGGGAGAGCGGGAGGGGGAAGGGGAGGAGGAATTCGCGGAGATGGGGGAGGGGGACGAGGAGCTGGTTGAAATCGACTCCGGAGGTGGGCAGGTTGCGGAGGCGGAAGGGTTAAGGAGGGCTGAGGACGGATGATGCAGCATCGGGCAGGGTTGGCGGTGGGGATGAGGGGAGGGGGTTGAGGGGTTAGCAGGGGCTTTAGGGGCTCACGGGGCGGGTGGCAGGCAGGCGTTGGTCTAGGGGGAGGGAGCAGCCGTGCAATCACGTACCTTGCTGCCTGCTCCCTGCGCCTGCTGCTTCTTGAGCTCTCCCACTCGCATCCAAGCCTGGTTGACGAAGCGTGGGCTGTCAAGCTTGTCTTCGCTCAGTTCTCATGCCGTTCCCCTTCCCTTCCATCCTCCCGTCCCACCCACTCCGGTGCCCCTCCCTCCCTCCTCATTCGCCCCTTGCCCTCATTTTCCTTCCGCCCCCTCCCCCCACCACCGGCACGGCTGCCCCGTGCGCGCATCAGACGAGGACGTCCTGTCGGCTGACTTTGACGACGACGATGCGCCTGCTGAGCTGGCAGACGATGGCATGGGTGAGCGGGGGAGGATGGGTGATGGGAGGCGGGTATGGGTGATGGGGGGCTGGGTATGGGTGATGGGGAGCTGGTATGGGTGGGGAAGTGGGGTCATGGCATGGCCGCATGGCACAGTGCTGCTAGTAGACAAGTGAAAGGGGACAGGAAAGGGAATGTGAGTGGGAAGGGAATGAGAGTGGGAAGGGAATGAGAGTGGGAAGGGAATGAGAGTGGGAAGGGAATGAGAGTGGGAAGGGAGTGAGAGTGGGAAGGGAATGAGAGTGGGAAGGGAGTGAGAGTGGGAAGGGAATGAGAGTGGGAAGGGAATGAGAGTGGGAAGGGAATGAGAGTGGGAAGGGAGTGAGAGTGGGAAGGGAATGAGAGTGGGAAGGGAGTGAGAGTGGGAAGGGAATGAGAGTGGGAAGGGAATGAGAGTGGGAAGGGAGTGAGAGTGGGAAGGGAATGAGAGTGGGAAGGGAGTGAGAGTGGGAAGGGAATGAGAGTGGGAAGGGAATGAGAGTGGGAAGGGAATGAGAGTGGGAAGGGAGTGAGAGTGGGAAGGGAATGAGAGTGGGAAGGGAATGAGAGTGGGAAGGGAATGAGAGTGGGAAGGGAATGAGAGTGGGAAGGGAATGAGAGTGGGAAGGGAATGAGAGTGGGAAGGGAATGAGAGTGAATGTGAGTGGGAAGGGAATGTGAGTGGGAAGGGAATGAGAATGGGAAGTGGAGCGAGAGCACTTGATAGCACGGCTGTGCTGAGCAGCTCTGCTTCCGCTCCGCTCCACGTGTGCTAGTCCCTTGCTCTGCCCCCACTGCTGCTGCCTGCCTTCCGTTGCTCCTTCTCATGCGTCGCCCTGTGCTGCACGTGCTGTGACTGATCGTGTGCTGCACGTGCTGTGATTGATCGTGTGCTGCACGTGCTGTGACTGATCGTGTGCTGCACGTGCTGTGACTGATCGTGTGCTGCACGTGCTGTGATTGATCGTGTGCTGCACGTGCTGTGACTGATCGTGTGCTGCACGTGCTGTGACTGATCGTGTGCTGCACGTGCTGTGACTGATCGTGTGCTGCACGTGCTGTGACTGATCGTGTGCTGCACGTGCTGTGACTGATCGTGTGCTGCACGTGCTGTGACTGATCGTGTGCTGCACGTGCTGTGACTGATCGTGTGCTGCACGTGCTGTGACTGATCGTGTGCTGCACGTGCTGTGACTGATCGTGTGCTGCACGTGCTGTGACTGATCGTGTGCTGCAAGTGGCGGTGGGTGGTGGCAGGGGGCGAGGAGGGCGAGGAGGGCGAGGAGGGCGAGGGAGGGCAGGACGACTCAGTGCATGTGTTCACGGCGCACACAGGTCAGTGCTTTGTGCTCCTGTGCAACGCCTGCTGCTTGTCTTGATGCTTCATTCTTCAAAATTCCCCTTGCATATACTCTGGTTACCTCTCTCTCTCCCACATCACCCATGCCGCCTCCCCTGCCGTCCGCCAGACAGTGTGTACGCGGTGGCGTGCAGCCCTCTCCCGGGCGGCAGAGTGGCGTCGGGTGGCGGGGATGACGTGGCGTACCTGTGGACCATAGGGCAGGCGGAGGACCCCGTCAAGCTGGAAGGTGGGATGCTGCTGTGGGTGGGTCAATCACACATGCCAGTATGCCCGCATGCCACCGGGCCAGCATGCCACCGTGCCAGCATGCCATGCACGGATGGGTCGATGGCAGGAGCATGCCATGCATTGCCTGGCCTCACACCCGCTTCCCTCCTTTCTCACCCCCCCCTCCCCCCTCCGCTTGGCAGGGCACAGGGACAGCATAGCAGCGGTGGAGTTCAGTGGGGATGGGCGGTGGGTGGCGACAGCGGGGATGGACGGAGTGGTCATGCTGTGGGACGCCGACACGGGGTACAGGCGCCACCGCCTCGAGGGGCCCGGGGAGGCCATCGAGGTGCGCATGGCTGCCACGGCACGGCACGGCCCTCGCCCTCGCCCTCGCCTTCCTCTGCCATGCTCACCCCAGCGCTGTCTGGTCATTGCCCTGGTTGCTGTGCCTGCTGTGGGCGGTCGCAGCTCTCTCACCTTCCTCTCCACCCATATTCTACCCTGTTTCCACTCACCATCCTCACCCTTTCTCGTCTCCCTCTCCTCACTGCCTCTCTCATCCCTGCGCAGTTCCTGACGTGGCATCCACGGGGAGCGGTGGTACTGGCGGGGTCGGAGGATCTAACAGCGTGGATGTGGAATGCGGAGACGGGGGCGTGCATGGCCGTCTTCACCGGGCACAGCGCAGGGGTCACCTGTGGGGCCTTCTCGCCCGATGGTACGCGATCCTGCTTCCTCTGCTCTTCATGCCTGCACTGTGGTGTGGACGAGGTCAACAAACAGGTTGCTGGCTGCAACGTTGAAAGTGACTAAAAAATCACTTCCCCCACCACTACTCCTGATCTCTCCCCCCACCAGGGCGGGCGGTGTGGACGGGGTCAACGGACGGGTCGGTGCGCTGCTGGGACCCGCGCTCTGCCGCCACCACCGCCACCCTCCAAGGTCATCTCCCACCTCTCGTCCCTCTCACGTAGGATAGGTGGTGTTTCTCTTGGTTGTTGTTAGAGCGTGTTCCTACGCCTCGTATCAAGCGAACCTCATATCAGGCTCACACTGAAAGTTCACCTAAACCCGAAAACCTTTGCTAGTTTTATCAGACAAGTCTGATATGACGCATAGAAACACGCCCTTATACTTGTTGTGCCCCTTTGAAAGTTGTCTCATGCCCCGTGCCCCAATCAACCCCTCCCTTCCCCGCCTTGCATGGCATGGCATGGCATGGCATGGCATGGCATGGCGTGGCATGGCATGGCATGGCATGGCGTGGCATGGCATGGCATGGCATGGCATGGCATGGCGTGGCATGGCATGGCATGGCATGGCATGGCGTGGCATGGCATGGCATGGCATGGCATGGCGTGGCATGGCATGGCATGGCATGGCATGGCATGGCATGGCATGGCATGGCATGGCGTGGCATGGCATGGCATGGCATGGCATGGCATGGCATGGCGTGGCGTGGCATGGCATGGCGTGGCATGGCATGGCATGGCATGGCATGGCATGGCATGGCATGGCATGGCATGGCATGGCATGGCATGGCATGGCAGGACCATTGTTCCACAGCGACGCCATCACGTGTCTGGCCATGGCGCCTCAGGGCGCAGTGGGCGCTGCTGGCTCCTCCGACCACACCACCGCCCTCTTTGGCCTGCACCAGCCCAAGGTAGGGCAGCTGCCGTGCCCGCCATCGCCTGCTGCTTCCTGCCTTGCGCTGCTGTCTCTCTCTCCTCGCTCTCACACGCATCTGCCATTGCTCCTCTCACACTCTTCACTGCTCCACCGCCACTCACTTTCCTACAAGCTTGGCACAGGGCACATCTTCTCATTCCTCTCTTCTCATTCCTCTCTTCTCATTCCTCTCTTCTCATTCCTCTCTTCTCATTCCTCTCTTCTCATTCCTCTCTTCTCATTCCTCTCTTCTCATTCCTCTCTTCTCATTCCTCTCTTCTCATGCCTCTCTTCTCGCATCAATCATCTGCCACGTGGCTGGGTGCATGGCATGTGGGAGGGGCGTGCATGGCATGGCATGGTTGGGCAGGTGTTAGGGAAGCTGGAGGGGCACACGGACTCGGTGGAGGCGGTGGTCTTCAACCCCCTGTCAGTGTCCGCGCCCTGCACCATGTGCATGTGCCCACTGCCCACCACGCTCTTCCGTGCACCCTCCCGCCACTCCTCGTGTGATGGAATTGAATGCCCCACATTGCCATGACCCTCACTGCATGACACCTGCTCGCACGCCCAGAAAGCAGGCAGAGCAGGCGGCAGCCGTGGCAGGCAGCGGCACAGCTGTGACCCACAGGCACATACCTCAGGCTCGCCCTGAAGCCTCTTGGCTTGTGTGCGTGCGTGCATGGCTGCATGGGTGCATGGGTGTGTGATGCGTGCTGGGTGCATGGCAGGGGGCCAACGGTGGCAACGGCATCACTGGACGGCTCAGTGCGCATATTTGACATCAACTCGCTGCAGCTGCGCTCCACCTGCACTCACCAGGTCAGCTGCGCACGTTGCTCGCCGCCGTCCGTGCTCTCTTGTATCATTTGTACACTCACACCTTCGTGCTCTAGACACACTCAAACAGCACTGCACAGTTCCCTCACCCTCTTATCTCTTCACGCCCCTCCCCACTCGCCCCTCTCCCCTATGCCGCCTTTGCGGCCACCGGCAGGACGAGGTGGTGCAGATGGCGTGGGCGCCCGCAGCACCACTGCTCGTGACGGCGACGGCAGACGGAGCAGTGCACGTGTGGGATGCGCGCACGGGGGCCATTCAGAGGACCCTGCGCGGCAACCGTGATGCCGTGGTCTCCCTTGCCCTCACCCCGTGAGCCCCCTCCTTCCCCCGCTCACCCCCTCCTTCCCCCGCTCACCCCCTCCTTCCCCCGCTCACCCCCTCCTTCCCCCGCTCACCCCCTCCTTCCCCCGCTCACCCCCTCCTTCCCCCGCTCACCCCCTCCTTCCCCCGCTCACCCCCTCCTTCCCCCGCTCACCCCCTCCTTCCCCCGCTCACCCCCAACACCCATCACCCTCAACCTCATCGTTTTGCATGGGTTAGACTGCACATGTGTCCCCCTCCTTACCACTCTAGCATCTGTACCTGCGTGCCCAAGGATGCAATCAGCCACCATGCCCATCACACACCACTGCATGCCACCAGCCCTGCCCCTCCCTCTCTGCCCCACTCTGACCTGCGTTGCATGCCACGTGTCCCACTCCTCCCCTCTCCCCCACCCCCTGCAGCGACGCGGCCTTTGCGGTGACGGGGTCGGACGACCACACGGCTCGTGTCTTCCAGCTCTAGCTGCGCCTGCACGGGTTGCCTTCCCTGGGAGGAATCTGTCTTGGTGCACGGACAACGCACATGCAAGAATGACGATTAGGGATGGTGATGCACAGGGCAGAGCAAGGTGGCAAGTGAAGCAGAGGCATGGTGAAGGGAGAGGTGTCTTGGCACTTGAGAGTGCATTCATACTCGCCCGCCCAGTGGCGTGGAAGCGTTGTGCAGGCAGCTGCCCTCCCCCACCACCAGCCCCAACAGTTTTTGCCCCTCTGTCCGAATATGAGCAAGTAACGCTACAAATATGATTAGTATAATGTGTATCATGTTGACAATAAACCAAAGCCCTAGTGGCCATACTGACTATCAGCTGAACAAATATAAGCCTTTGAGCCCCTTGTACCACCCATGCAGAAAGAACCCCCTCCCCCCCTCACTCGAGCAGGTCACTGCCCTCCCTGACCATGACAAACAGTGACCCGGCATCCCCCCGGGCGATGCGGAAGTCATCATCGAGGTATGTGATGAGCTGCCACCCCGCTGCGCGCTCGCCATCGATGGGCAGCGCCAGGGGCGGCACGCCCGACACCAGCTTCGCCACCTCCAGTGCCGCCTGCTGCACCGGCTGCAGCGCTGCTGCCAGGGGGGACAGGTCTAGGGTCTGGCCGAATAGCGCGATGGGTGCGAGGGCGGGTGGGGAGGCGGCGTCGAGGGGCTGCGGCGAGGAGAAGGTCACCTGCTCGAACTTCACCTGGTGGTGGGGAGGGGTTGAGGGTGTGGTGCGGGTGGGGAGAGAACAGAGAGAGGGAGAGGAGAGGGTGAGAGTGAGAGTGAATGGAGGAAAAAGAGGGGGAAGCAGGTGCGTCGTGAGCGGAAGCACCTGACCAGCATGTCCCCTGCCAACACTGCTAAACCCAGCAGCACAGCTGACCTGCAGGCGCTTGCCGCTCCTGATCTCAGCCGTGGCGTCCACGCGGATGGAGGAGGAGGTGAGCGGCCCCTCAAACGAGATGCTGTTGCTCACGGCGCCCCCCGCCAGGTCCACGCTCTGTGTGATGGCCCCCACCCGCACCAGCGGCACCTGCCCCGCCGCCAGCAGCGGTAGCAGCTCCGAGAACGTGTAGCTGGGGGGGAAGAGGGGGGAGGAGTTGGAGGAATGGGGGAGAAGGGGAGGAGGAGAAAAAGGAGAGGGGGGAGGGCGTGAGGGAGAAGGGGTGGCGGCACGGCGGAATGAGGGAGAAGCGGCAGCGGCCAGGAAGGGAGAGGCGATGACCAGGGAACACACGAGGCGGGGGCAGGAGGAAAGGTGGGGGAGGGGGAGGAGAATGGTGGGGGAGGGGGAGGAGAATGGTGGGGGTTGGGAGTGGGCGAGGAGGATAACTGGGCGGGCAAAAGGGCAGCAGGAGGCTCACACGAGCACCCAGTTGCCGTCGAGCGCGGGCGACTCGGTGGGCGCCTCGGTGGGGTTGGCGGCTTCCAGCTGCGCCACCAGCTCCGCCACCTCCGCGCGCGTCTCCCCGCTAGCGCGGAACCCGCGCTCCGTGCCGTAGAGCGAGTCGATCAGGCACAGCTTCAGGTCGCGCAGCTGCCGCTGCTGCGCGCGGGCTGCAGCCTCCGCCACCTCCGCCGCCGCAAAGGCCGCCGCTTCTTCTGCGGAGTCTCCGGCTGCAATCGCGTTCGCTTCAAGGCTCGCGGAAATGGTGGCTGCTGCTTGAGTGGCAGCAGCTGACTGGGCGAGCGTTTCGAGAATGTCATCCGGCACGGACTCGTCGCTGACTGCCACGTCCTCAGCGTCGTCGCTCTCGTTGCCATCGCTGTACACGGGGCCGCCGGACCCGCCGTTCACGGAGGCGATCCACGTCGCTCGACGGGCCGATCGCCTGGCGACCTGTGCGACGTCGCGGGCAACTGACGCACTCGCAGCGTTAAAACGATCCGACGGCGATCTGAGCGAAAGGGCGCACGGCGGGGCCGCTGCGACGGAATGGCCCGCCGAGCGAAGGTCCGCGAGGTGCGGACGCGCCGCAGGCGACGCGAGCGCTGAGGCTGCTGCTGCGCTGGTAGCGGCCATGGCGGGACAATGACGCGCGGCTTGGAAGGAGACAGACAATGAGGCGCGGCTGTTTGGCCCAGCAGAATGCGGCAAGCAATGACAACCGAAGTCGGATCGAGTGGCTCAAGTTTGACACTGCGCGTGGGTTACTGCTGTGGGCGTGCCTAACGAGCCTGTTACAAAAGTGTACAATGTGGGGGAGTTAATGGTTGAAAATGAGCCACGTAAGGTGGAAACAAAAAGGATAATCTGGTTTTATCCCACAATTACGTATTCTGCACATCAAGTGTAGCTTAACTCTGGCTCAAGGGATGAGCACAGCAAAGAAGGAAACCATATCGAGTACATTTTAGCAAAGCTCCATCCCAAGGTCTACGCGAATAGCATCAACATGCACTTGTCGGATTCTGATGCCCCGCCATTGCTCAGCCTTGGCTTGCCGCGTCGCGTAGCGTCGTCGCGTCGCATTCGCAAGGTAGCAAGGTACATTCTCTTCCCGTCTGTCGCTGCTGATCGCAAGGTAGCAGCGGGTCGCGCGACGCGCCACCGGCATGTGGCGCCAGCGCCACCCGCGGAGGGTGGACTCGCCGCCACGTGGCATGCCAGATGGCGACACCAAGGACCACCTGCGCGCCACATCAGCGGCGAGCGAGTCGCAAGCAACAGCCGCGGTAGTTCACAGACGGCCAGTCTTCTTCATGCCTCGTATGGCGATCGCTCTCGTTATAATCGTCCTCGTTTGCGTCGCGCTGAGCGCTCATTCTGCGTTCTCGTCGCAATTCATCCAGCGAATCTGCCACCGCCTCTCCGCGCCATCCGGACCGCATGTATCAGCTGTCTCCGACTCTCTTGATTCGCGTCCGTTCGCCATGGCCGCTGACAGCAGCGGCAGCGGCAGCACCACCGAAAGGCACGACCGACGAGCTTCGGTGGATCGCTCCACGCGCGACGCGTCGCGGCTGCACGTGCGGCTCATCGTGCTCACTTTCGACCGCGCGGCGAGCCTGTCCCGTTGCCTGCGATCATTGCGGGCGGCAGACTACGGCGGCGATGACGTGTCACTGGACATCCACGTGGACCATCCGTTCGCGGGCGTGCAGCTGAACGACCCGCTGCAGCTCACAGACCGCTTGGACAGCCGCGCGTGGGGAGCAGGAGAGCAGGCGGACGACCCGCTGCAGACTGACTCCGCGGCGGAGGGCGATCTGGGGGAAGGCAGCGCGCAGATCCGCGGGCTCGAGGCGAATCCGCAGCTGCCCGGCGGCGCGAAGCGCGGATTCGCGTCCCCCAGCGCGGTGGGGCTGGGGCGCAGCGCGTTTGGCGTGGAGGAGGCGGGGGACCTGTCCAACTGGCGCCACAGAGGGCGGCTGTGGGCGCAGAGGGCTCGGGGGCAGGGGCAGGGCCAGCGGCGGCTGGGGGAGGTGCGTCCTGTGGTTGGTGCGGTGCAGAGGCGGGGAGCGGGGGAGGTGGCATCGAAGCGGCGCAAGTTCCGGTCAGTGGTGGCGGTGGCGGACTCGTTCACATGGCAGCACGGCCACAAGCAGGTGCGCGCGGTGGGGGTTTTCAAGAACGGTGCCCATGGAGCTTGGCTGTCAGCATGTACAGAACTGAATTGTAGCTCCTGCATAGTCTCTACAGCGGTGCCTCAACCCTTTGTTAGCTTGACCGTCTCTGCACAGCATGACTGGCCGTTGGGGTGCTGTGTTGTGCCCTACAGGTGCACGTGCGCAGCATGAACGGCGGCGTGCAGGCACAGTGGATGGAGGCGTGGTGGCCCAGCGGCGCCAACGAGTTTGCCTTTGTGCTGGAGGACGACGTTGCCGTCTCCCCTTTCTTCTACGCCTACCTCAAGCGCATGCTGCACCGCTACTACTACAACAATACCGAGTACGACTCTAACGTGTACGGCATCTCCCTGCAGCGCCAGCGCCTCGTGCCCGGCCAGCCGGCGCCGCCCATAGCGCACACGGGGCGGCCATTCCTGTACTCGCTGGTGGGCACGTGGGGGCAGCTGCTGCTACCGGCGCCGTGGCGGGCGTTCCGCGTGTGGTACGACGCGCGGCGGTACACGCCGGGGAGGGAGCCGGTGATCCGAGGGCTCAAGACCACGGGCTTCTGGAAGGGCCGGGTGTGTGCCACAGGGAAAAGGAGAATGGGGGTGAGACGAATGGTGGGGGGTGTGCGAGTGACAGTGCGTGCGGTTGAGCGTGTGGGCTCCCCTCCCCCCCTCCTCTCTCTTATCCTTCTCTCGTCACCGTCCTCCCCTCCCCGCTCCCTGCCACTGCCAGCCAGCCTGCCTTGCACTGCACTACCTTTTGTGGGCCTGCCTTGCCACCCCCGCTCCCCTCTCCCCCTCCCCGCGGACCCCTCCTTGTTCACCCCTGCACACTGCGCTGGCCCCTGTACTGGCTGCGGCGTTGACACGCCTCGTGTGCCCCTCCCAACAGGGCAACAGCATCTGGACGCCGTGGATCGTGCGGTGGGCGCACGCCACCGCTGCTCTCAACCTCTACGCGTCGCTGCCAGCAGGGCTGGCGCTGAGTGTGAGCCACCGCGAGCAGGGCGAGAGCTTCAAGCAGTCTAAAGGCGCTGATGCCACCCTGCTCATGCCGCACCACCTCACTGCCACAGCAGATATCAGTGCAGTGGAGCAGGTGAATGCAGCAGAACACCTGAATGCAAGAGAGCACATGATGGAGCACCTGAGCGCAGCAGAGCAGGTGGGAGCAGCGGAGCAGGGCCCATGGTGGTGGGAGCAGCTGCCCCCATTAGCATCACTGCCGCGCTTTGACTTCTGCCTGCGCCCGCTGCCCTGGGTGGGGCGAGGGGGCACCGCGTGGGTGTGGCAGGGAGGGGACAGAGGGGAGCAGGGGGAGCAGCAGGGCGCTGGAGAGCATCGGGATGCAGGGCAGCGCAGTGGGGGGGGAAGGGAGGCGGAGGCCGCGGCAATAGGGGGAGCAGAGGAGGGTGGTGCAGGAGTTGATGATGCGTCAGAAGGAGGCGATGCTGAGTCAGCAGGTGCAGCGGGAGTGGCGGATGCCACGTATGCATCCATGGTGACGCGCGATGAGGAGCTGTTGCGAGCGGTGCAGAGTGCGAGAGGGGTGAGTGAGAGACGCAGTCAATGGTACATTCATGGGTGGAACATCCTGGGTTTGATTCATCTTCTTTTTTTTGCTCCTCTAAACCAACACTGAATTCTGTTTCCGTCCTCGTGCGTCCCATAACCACACCCCACCCCCCTGCACCACAGGTGACCTCCTTCGCACTGCTCCTCCTACCTGACCACCAACCCTCCGAGTCACCCCAGCAGCAGCACCACGCCCACGCACACCCCTGGGCGTCCGCCCTGCTGCGCGCCACTGACACCCCCGCCCCGCCCGCATGGCAGCAGCTGGCGCGCAACTGGGCGTGCCACGTGGACGGGCTGGGCGTGTCGCACTATGCCGTGCTCACCTCCTGCCCCGCCCTCGCCCTGCACCTCGCCACGCGCGGCCACCTCGTCTCCCTCCTCCCCTCCTCGCCCTCCCCTCCTTCCTCTGACTCTCCCTCTTCCCCCTCCACCCCCCTCATCCCCTCCCCCGCACACCTCCACACGGCCGTGCAGCTGTCAACCCGTCTGCGCGTGCCGCTGCTGCTCGCCTCCCCCGCCGTCACGTGGGGCGGCGACCCCTTCCTCTGCCTCGCACCCCGCCTGCTGCACCCGCACCACAGCCATGCGGGGCAGCAGGGGGAGCAGCAGGGGCAGTGGCAGTGGGGTGGATCTAGTCCGCATGAGCAGGGGGCCAAGGGAGAAGAGCAGGCCACAGGCCAGCAACCACAAGGTGAGGGGCAGTATTGGGAGCGGGCGGGCGTGGCAGTGGGGGTGGGGGACTCGCCTCTGTCAGACGTCTTCCTGCTGCCGCCCTCCTCTGCTGCCCACTCCGCCCTGCACTCCCTGCTCGCCCACCTGCTGTGGGGCACCCCCACCACCAGCAGTGACGGCGGCAGCAGCGACGTTGGGAGTAACGCGGGTGACAGCAATGGGCAGGGGGAATCAAGGTCATGGGAGGCGCTGCGAGCGGCATGGCTGGGTGCAGGCAACAGTGAAGCCCGGTGGGCTGCACTGGAGGAAGCAGCGAGGAAGCTCCGTGTGGGCGTGACTGTATGGAGGGTGGGGCTGCCGTGCTACATGGCGCCATCGGAGGTGAACTCCTCGTTTGAGTCACAGGGTGTGCAGCAGGGGGCGTGGATGGTGGCGGGGGGGAGAGGGGGAACGGCGGAGGAGGCGGTGGTGGGGATGAAGGGGGCGGGGTTGTGGGAGCTGGATTCGGTGGATTATGTGTGTAAGAGTGTAGTCTGCCTGCGATTGAATAATCTTGTGCCAGCGATCGAATAATCTTGTGCCAGCTTAAAATATATATTCATTATGAAAGATAGTTGTACAGATATTAGCATTTTGAACGTTCTACACAGAGCATGTGGTTGGCAGGGAGGCATGTGGAGACACATGACACATCTGCAGGCTGCATTGGCCACCGTCAGAGATGCATTCAGCATTCACCATACCATAGCTGTTACAAGCACCCAAGTGAACCCCTAACCTGCAGCCACGTCCACCACAGGGCAACCCATATTGGGCACACAGCAGCAGGGAGTTGTGTTTACTGGCTGTGTGCATGTGGCACTCCCAGATGCCACCATGCCATGTGATGTCAGCTGCAGTCATGCCAGCTGCAGTCATGCCTGCCGCCGCCACTGCCTGCCGCCTCGCACCAGAAACACGGACACTTTCTGACTTTGCCTTTGAAACAAGAGCGTTCTCACTGTGCTGTGATGGAGCAGCAGTTAGGTACCGGTAGATGGGTTTTCACTCCCCTCCAGCAACCGAAAGAGAGTACGGTAGGAGCCGTGCCCCTATTGCTCACAGCAATGACACAAGGAAAGCCCACTCGCCGCACATCCTCTCTCCCCACTCACCGCACATCCTCTCTCCCCACTCTCCGCCCATCCTCTCTCCCCTTTGCACCCCTATGTCTTTCAGACCCCTATGACTCCCTAATTGTCTGCAACCCACACCCCTCCCCTACCCTTCGCACCTTCTCTTCCTCCACCTCTCCCCATCCATCAGTACCCTCCCCCACCTCCTGCACCTCCTCGACTGCGAGAGACACCAGCACCCTTCGCCCCTCCACTTGGCGGGCGCCGATTGGCCGGCTGCTGATGCGACTGCGGGGGCTGGTGGTTGGAGGCCCTGCCTCGGGGCGCAGCGGCTCCTGTCGTGCCTCCGCCGCCCATCTCTGCTCCCCCCCCTGCCCCCCCTGCACCTGCTGCTCCCAGTGACCCCTTTCTTGACGACCTCCCAGCACCCTGCTGCTGCGCCTGCTGTTGTTGCTGTTTCTGCTGGGGATACCCTTGCTGCTGCGCGGAATACTCCTGCTGCTGTGAGGCCTGCTGCCGCTGCTGCTGGTACTGCTGACGCCCAGGTTGCACCTGAACCGCGTACTGCCCCCCTCGGCCTTGGCTGTATCCCCCACCCCCACCGCTGCCTTGCTCCTCGTAGTACTCGTCCTCCTCGTATCCCTGCCCCTCCTGCCCCTGCTCCCCATACCCCTGCCCTCCATATCCCTGCTCCACATACCCCTGCTCATACCCTTGCCCTCCAAACCCATCTTCTACATACCCTTGTTCGTTGTACGTTTCCTTGTTATAATTCTGCTCGTTATATCCCTGCTGATTATATCCCTGCTCGTTATATCCCTGCTCGTTGTATCCCTGCTCGTTATACCCCTGCTCGTTATATGCCTGCTCAGTATACACTTCTTCGCTATACCCCTGATCGTTATACCCTGTGTCATGATACCCTTGCGGCACATGGTCCTGCTCCCCATACCCTGTCTCGCTGTACTCGCTGTGACCTCCGCCCCGCTTCCCCTGCCGCCCATACCCCTGCTCCGCACGCCCTGCCTCGCCGTACCCTGCTTCATACCCTGCCTGCATGCCATAACCCTGCGTCCCCCCAACCTGTTCATCATAGCCCTCTTCGCCGCCATACACGCCCTCCTCGTATGCGCCCTCACCGCACGCCCCTTGCTGCGCGTACGCCCCAGGATCCCCCCCTTCCCCTCCCTCATACCACTCGTCGCCTCCCTGCTGCTCCTCCCCCTCTTGATCGCCCGAGTACCTCCCTTCATCATCCACGTATCCACTTGAATACCCATCCACATGCCCTTGCTGCGCCTGCATGTGCTGCCCCTGCCACTGCTGCTGCCCCTGCCCCTGCCCTTGCCACTGCTGCTGCCCCTGCCCCTGCCACTGCTGCTGCTGCTGCTCCTTAGCACCCACCAGCCCCCCCGCCCCTTCCCCACTATCAAATTCCTCCTCCCACACCCCTCCCTCTCCATACCCCTCATCCTCCCCCCCTTCAATCGCCGCCCCTCCTCTGCCATACCCGTACACATGCCCGCCTGCCGATCCTCTCCCGCCACTCGCAGCCCCCCCACCCGCAACTCCCCTCACTGCCACGCTTCCCCTCCCCATTCTCCCCGCACTCGCTCCCCCCTCTACACGCCCACCTCCGCTCATCCCCCCTCGCACGCCCTCCCCTTCACCCCCTCCATTGCTGCTGCTTGATTTCTGCCGCCCATGCCTTCCCCCTTGCGCCCCTCCCCCTGCGCCCATCCCGCGCCCTCTGCTCCCCCGCTGCTGGTACTGCTCGTATTCGCCTTCCCCGTTGCCCCCCACGAGCCCCGCGCTTGCAACACTCCCTGGCCCATCCTCAGTTCCGTACCCGCTATAAGCTCCTCGTGAAAGGGGCGACCCCGTTCGTTCCGAGCCTCCTACTGATACCCCCCCTTCCTTTCGCCTAGACACACCACTCTTACGCCTGCCAGTCGGCCCACTCCCTCGTTCGGACAGGGACGAGCCTGGGCGCTCGCCTGGGTCGGGCGCGCGGGGAGGCGTGGAGGTGCGCACTGTGGGGGGCAGCATTGAGGCGGAGTGGCCGCGGGGGCGGCGCATGAGCTGCGGGGAGGCGGGGCGGTCGGAGTGGGCGGAGAGGCGGGAGGCGGACGGGTGCAGCGGCGAGAGACCATGGCTGCCCGCGTCGCTCTGAGCGTTGCCCACACTGCGACTCCTGGGGGAAGGGGAGGCGGGGGGGAGTGGGACGGCAGGGAGAATTCGGAGGAGGGCAGAGGCGAGGGAGAGTGGATAGAGCAGCGGGTGCAGCACCACAGGGGCCCGATGATGACTGATGACAACGCTCAACCCATGCTCCCGACGGCAGAAACGACGGGGTTCACACCAAACCTTACCTTCAAATGAAGCTACTGAACCCTACACCGTCAAAGAGATGGCGCTCCATGGAATGAGGTGACTTTGAGTTGACTCGAAAGTTACCGCGATGCGCTCTACAGATCGCCCGGTCCGCAGCTCTGCTCCGGCTCAATAACAGAATGGTTCGGAACAAGAGGCTCCTACAAACGCGGACGGCTACAGGTAACTGCGTACAACCCAGGCTTATCCGCGCGGCACAGCAGTGGCCTCGAACACGCGCCGCCATGGTCTGCACGCCTTAACTTCCAACCATCCGTGGGCTATCAAGAGCTATAAGATTCGACCTCTAGCTTTCTTCCGTACCGTTCCCAAGTCCAGAAGTTTCTCACGCACCTTCCCAAGCTGGCCCGCACCGGGCCTCCCAATGAAGCCCTCCCGCCATCCGGAATGCCCCCTCTTCCGCGCAGCTCCCCTGCCGTTCCACCAATGCTCTGCGCCCGCCGCCCATAGCCTTTCCGCGCGACAGCTTCCCCCGATTGTCCGCGCGCCTTCTGCTCATCCGCGGAAAGCGTCAGCTGCTCCGCATGTTCCGCGCCAGCGACGGCCTCGCGGTGTTTATTGAACGAGAAGAAGGCGACTTTAGCGGCCGACACGGGGGCGGGAGGTCGCGACACCACCGATGTTGCGCTTCCGCCGGATCGCGTCCGTGCAAGCCCACCCGCGTTTCCCGGGTTGGGTTGAGCACCCGGTGCATCCAATCCGCTACCGACGCCGGTGGAGGCGCTGATCCTGCCGCCATGCGCGCTCGCCTTCTTGTTCGCAACCTCGGCAGTGGCGCGGAGGGTGCCCATCTCCTTGTGCTGCCGGCGCAACGAGCTTCTATCAACGGCGGACACGGTAATGGATCGACGAAGATCGTCCATTGACGGCTCGTCAGCCGCAGACGTGTCTGCCGGAGGCGACAACTGCTTGTCGGACCAATTGGCGTCCGAAGTTCTCGAGGATGCGGTCCGATTCGCACTTGGAGTAGCCGCCGCCTTGCTGCTGTCGTCGGATGCCCCCTTGCTCGCGGAGCCCCGGAAGTTGAGCCACTTGGGCGGCCTCGGGCCGTCCTTGGCGCTGCCGCCGCTAGACGCCGCCTTGCCGTCGCTGGCTCCGCGCGGGGTCGCTCTGCTCGACTCGCCTCTTCCAGGTGTTGACGCGGTAATTCGGGAGAGTATGGACGACGTAAACGTGCGAGAGCGACGGAAGTCGTCAGCGTTGGGTTCGTCGTCTTCGGGTTCGTCGTCCTTGGTGGCGGCGTCCATCCACGCGCTGTCTAGCAACGCGTCCTTGTCCTCCCACCCCGCCACCTCCATCGTCGCCATTCTTCACCTTCTAACACGTGCCAGTCAGATGAAACCTATTCTTACTGTAAATGTAATCGAAGCGACCTTCTAATATATACTTACTTCTGAAGTGACTACGGGGAAGAGAGTGGAGAGACTAGGTGCATAAAAGCCTCAAGGTAGCGATCAAGGTAGAGTGCTGCGGGGACACAGAGACCGTTGATGGGTGGAAGACAATTGCTGTGTGGGCTTGGTTCAGTTGGTTTGGGTCAGGCGAGATTTCGGTCGCACGGGTCCCTGGAGTAAAAGTGGCACGGGTCCCTGGAGTAAACCCAGCAGTGCCCTTTGAAAGCTGGCACGGTCCTAAAAGTGGCGGTCAGTCCTGAATTCGATTTCTTTCACCACTTTTGTGGTGAAAACCCCTTCAAGTCGATATGTCTTTGATGCTGTACTCATCAGTTTTACATGCCCCGATACATCCAAAGCTTAGGGCTCATGTCAGACACCTATGTTCGGGCCGCAGAGCCTCGGGTCATCGTTGTCACATTTTTTGCCCTGTCAGTGACCTCTTCGGGTCAGTTGTGTGTCCAACTCCGTGTGGAGCCGCCTGACCTGAGGTCTCGACAGGAGCTCTGAATCCTCCCTCGTGTACATCGGGAGCTCAGCATCTTGAGGATGCCGCGCCTTGTTGGCGAAACAAACAAACCATGAGGCCCGTGTGGGAGAAGCAGGCACTCCCAAACACAACCAGGGTTGGTGTGGGGGAAGATGAGTACAGTTCTTTTTGTTACTCTCATAAACCATCACATACTCAATCATAGACATTTCTCCTTTCACACATTACTCTTGAGCGCCTTTCCAGCCGCATTAGGACATATAATAGATTTAAAAAATAAATAATCAAAATAAAATCTCTCTTGACGATGATTCAGTGAATTTTCTATGAATAGTTGCAAGAGGGGAAAGAGAATGTATATCGAGACAACAGGTGACACAACACTTGTTATTACTGGGGTGTAACGGGACGATGCATTTTCCCCATGTCGAATCTGCAAGCTGCCAGCTCATCACGCTGCCTGGATCTCGGCAGGGCATTTCATTTAGCGAATCAGGGTGCTCGATACAGACCATGCGACAAAAATCTTTGCATTAGGTGGACATTGTCCCTCAATTAGCGGGCCTCGATTCCACCGCAGCAGCCTTGTTGGCGTCCACGAGTACAGTAGTTAGGAACTTGTAACCATATGCTTTACAACCGTCGCGTGGCCTGACAACGTTTCGTGCAAAATGTCTTGATACCTGCTGGTAACAAGTCCAGCAAACTAATGCATCCCATCTCCCTCCCTCGCCAGAGTCTCCATAACCTTACAAGATCCTGTCTTTGGAGTTAGGAGGATCGCGTATGTTTGAATGCTTGTAGTCGGTATCTGAAACCATGAGCTCGTCTAGAGCCTTTCAATGGGCCAGGGACTTCTACAACCACCCCGCTGGCCCTAAGACTGTCTTCTTCTGGGCTCCTACTTTCAAATGGAGCCTTGGGCTAGCCAACATCGCTGACTACAATCGGCCTCCAGGTTGGGATTTGTTATGGCACTCCACTGGGTTGCATTGTCCACGCTAGTTTCTCCTAACCATGTGGCAGTATCGTTGTCAGGTTGGGACATGGCCGTACCAGTTCAGTGCGCCTTTGATGATAAATCATTGTTTTCTCACAAGACTGACAATGCCGTGTCGTCCTCCCACATAAATTACAGAAAAGGTTTCCTACCCGCAACAATCGGCAGCCGCGGTGACCGGCCTCATCTTCATGAAGTACAGTGTCGACATTGTCCCCGTCAACTGGAATCTCTTCAGCGTCAACGCTTTCCTCTCCGCAACCGCCATGTGGCAGCTTGCACGAAAGCTCCACCAAGATTACGTAGTGGTGCGTTTTGTTATTCTGTTGTGTGATTCGGGTGGTGAATACGATCATCTTTTGCACTTAATCGGTTTCCACTTTGGAAGCCATGGGATGTCGTCAAATATCATCCGGATCTTTACTTTCCTCCTCTCTTTTCGCTATCTCTGTGCAGAATGGTCCGCCAAAGCCTGAGGCCATCACGGAGAAGTGATCCTTGGACCGTCAGTACAGTATATACCGAACACAGCTTGCCTTTGAATCTTGATCGTCGTAACGAGATCACAGTTTTCTATAGCATAGCAGTCTCGTCCTCATCCTGTGTACACATATGCTACAGAAACCATTACTTATCACGAATCTGTTTTTTACAACGAAGTGCTCGTGATGTCAAAGCAGCTCTGGGAAGTTGGGTGGTCGAAACTGATTGCTGCCAGATCCGATCCTCGGTAGCGAGCTCCATGGCGGACCACGACTACTTCTTAGAACCTTCAGTGATCACTTAGGCAGCAGTGTTCGTCTAGTTCCATCCCCCATACTCCGACAGCTCTCCCCGTTCCCTACTCCCCCCTACTTCCTCTCCTATGTTCGCACTGTGAAATTTTCCATCCTACTTGCAATGCCGTTGTTTCGTCTCCCTTATCCGTCGTCGGTGTTTTCCTTGTTCAGACTTACTTCCTCTCGTTCATTTTTTCTCTGGTCTCCTCTGTTGTTTTTTTTTCTGGACTACCTGACATCTACTAGTCGTTATTAATCCGCTTATGCTCCTGGCTCCCTTCCTCCGATTCGTCCTCCACTAATTACCGTCATCCCTCTCTCTCAGCGTCACCCTCCCTCACTCCCTCCCTCCCTCTAGCCCAAACCTCGTCCCTCCCCTGATCGCATCACCCTTCGTCGCTAACCTCGTTTTAATCGTCCAACATCCGAAGTATTTTCCCGTGCTCCCATATCCCGAGTGGTCTCCCGTCGCCCCACATCCCAAGTGATCTCCCGTTCTCCCACTTCCCAAGTGATCTCCCGTTCTCCCACTTCCCAAGTGATCTCCCGTTCTCCCACTTCCCAAGTGATCTCCCGTTCTCCCACTTCCCAAGTGATCTCCCGTTCTCCCACTTCCCAAGTGATCTCCCGTTCTCTCACTTCCCAAGTGATCTCCCGTTCTCCCACTTCCCAAGTGATCTCCCGTTCTCCCACTTCCCAAGTGATCTCCCGTTCTCCTACTTCCCAAGTGATCTCCCGTTCTCCCACTTCCCAAGTGATCTCCCGTTCTCCCACTTCCAAGTGATCTCCCGTTCTCCCACTTCCCAAGTGATCTCCCGTTCTCCCACTTCCAAGTGATCTCCCGTTCTCCCACTTCCCAAGTAATCTCCCGTTCTCCCACTACCCAAGTGTTCGCCCGTTCTCCCACATCCTGAGTGATCTATCCTCCCACATGATCCACGCCTCATCCTCATCCCCACTTTGGATCTTGAAGCAACTAGAAGCAAGGTTCCTGAACGAACAGGACATATTCACTTGCTGGCAACCTGAAGCCGTGTAAATATCTCGAGTATGTACACGCCTAAGATTAAAAATTATTGTTAATCAAGCAGTTTTTCACCAGAAGCTCTTCTACCTAAAATATCAAACTACGCTTTCTGTACTTTTTTATTTTTTCGTGATCTTGTTTCTTCGCATGCATACAACGTTGTAACTGTATATTGTCTACTACCGTACCATACCAACCATTGTTTAAGTGTTGTATGATCTGTGGTTGTGAAAAAAATGAAAATCACATTTTGTTTTGATGGTGAAAATGTAATTTGTGCTTAATATGAAGTGCTCTACATTTAGTCTAGTAAAATAAAACAATTTGGTGTAATATCCATTGTCCTACGGTGATTTGTTTATTCGCTGGCAGGTGCACTTTATTGTTCCACCACCCTCAAGGGTGGAATGGATTTGCTACTGCTATTCCAGCATGCTCCACGGGGTTCATCAGCCCTCACCATGCGGCGGAAAGGCCGGGGAACATTCCCCCTTCTCATGATGGGCGAAACTTGATTCTGCCGTTGTCAGGTTTGAACACCTCGATGCCATGCAGGAGACTCGACGGCAGCCACTTCCATTTCTGAGGCTCGTCTAGCGGTCCAGCGCAGAAGTGCGTGCATGGCGGCTGGTTTGGCATCTCCTCGGGGACCTTGCATCGCGGAATCCACTTAGCGGGCTTCGGCTTGGAGTACTTGGATGAGTTCTCCACGTCGACTTGCGTCGGAGGCACGTTGCACTGGAATACATTCGGCTTCGTCACATTCGCAGCGCTCTCCAGCGCGCTTACGGAATACTTAGCCAAGAGGATCGCCCAGTACAGCCGTCGGCCTTCCCACGTGCAGACGTCACCAGCTATGTTATTCGCGTTGCGAATGATACGCCTCGCTTGGTTATCGTGTGACCTCGCCCACTCGATTTGCGAAAAGAGGTTGGAGAAATAGCGGTGCGTGGGGACGAAGTGGCGGTGCGGGCAGAGCAGCGGATCGAAGAATTGCGTGTATTCGCTGGCCTGCTTGATGAGCATCTGGTTGCTCGACAGAATGCCGCACACGCGCCCGCTGCCGGTGCCGCCGTCCACGTCCAGCTCGTACTTGAACTCCTGAATCTGCGCGGGGCCCATGCGCTCGCCCAGCTCCACCTTGTCATCGCGCATCCTAGAAAGGACAAGGGGAAACGCGTGCAGCAGAATGTATTGGGTTAGCTTTCCATAGCCACTTACAGACGCTGTGAACAAAAGGAACGCGTGACCGTGAACGACGATATTTCACAGGAAGAAAGAGGGGTAATAGTAGACACAGCGTTATCCACACGAGGAAGAGAATTGGAAAGGCGGCGCTCACCGGTCGAGGAACTTGGGGTCGACGTTGCCGACGACCTTGGCGTCCACCAGGTCTGGCCGAACCTCCGACATGCGGTGGACTCGGAAGCGTGGGCTGGAGCGCCACTGCGTGTCGTACTGCACGAAGAAGTTGGTCATGCCACCGCGAAACACGGCGCGGCCCTGCTTCTGCTCCCATGGCACCGTATCCTCGATGTCCCTGAAATAACTCTTGCTCAGGTCCACGGGGTCGGGGTAAAGAATGTCTACGCTGCCGGGAGCGCCGTGGGGGGAAAATATCGGAAGGCCCGCGCGGTGCTTCGCTACGGAGCTGACTCGGCTGGTGGGGAGGTCGCAGGTGCTGATAAAGAACTCGGCGTTCAGGTTGTACAAGTTGTACTCGATAATAGCCTCCTCAATCATTCGGATGGAGAAGACGAAGCGGCGCATCCTGTACCAGTCGAATTCGAATCCACCGAAACGGAAGAATATCTCTCCTTTGACGATTCGCACGTGCCCCGAGCAGGAAAGGACACTCGACATCGTCGCCATCTGCCCTAGAAGCTTCGGGCTGATCATTCCGCGCGCGCCCATGCCTTCTGTGATTCCCGGAATGCCCATCCACGGGCGCAGGTAGTTGTGCGCCAGGCAAGCGAGCTGGCGCACCTTGGCGCTGTTGCGGTTCAGCGCGGGGAACGCCGCGAGGTCCGCTACGCACTCCTCGGGGTCGTCGATGTCGGGAATGCCACAGGATCCAAGACCCGCCTCGTACAGCCTGTTGTAGAAGCGACAGGGGGTAGAACGAGAGGAGAAAAACATATGCATATCGAGAATCAATAGGTGTGGTGCATGCGATTTCCTATCGTCAGAAAGAGTATTGAAGGGCGTTCTGTCACCGACGCTCCTGATGAGCGTGGTGTCGAGATGAGCGTCCAGCGACAATTGCGGCATGAAGAAAATTGCGGGGTGGGGGAAAGGTCATGGCAATTGGGTGGCTCGAGGCGGAAATGAGGGCGCGGCGCTCGGAGTCACGGCACACGGCGAACGTCGCTCGCAGCGTACCTTTCGACAGGCGCGGGTCCGCCAGATGACACGTCGCTGCGCGCAGGCTGCGGCACGGTCTGCATGAGCACCGCCTCTGCTTCCGCCATGTCCGTCTGGTACTTCGCCAGCCGCCTCCGCGGTGTGTCGTCCGCCTGAAGAGTAAAAAGAAAATGCGACAGGGATGAAGAAATTTGAGGATTATTCTAAACAAGTTGAGGAGATCGTATGTAGGACAAGTGGAGGCACTGGTAATCTATCGGCGAGTCATTCAGATGCGAATGCGCGGCGATCCCTAACACTAAACGGCGTACCATGAGCGTGGACTGGAAGTGCGCATCAGCGACTAAAAGGAGTGCGCCGATCAGAACGGCCAGCAGCATACTGCGTTTCGATGCTCTCGTGCTCCCACCCATATTGAACTGTCTAAGTCTTTGCAGTGTGCTCACACAATGTCACAAAACCCGCTACGCAAATAGCTTTTTCGGTCTCTTGAAGAAATTCTTAGGATGCCCTTTTGGTGCTGATACAAATCAATGATATCCTTGGTTCTTTATAATCGACGAGGCAGCAGCTGCTGCTGCGCCTAATTTGTTTGTTCTGTGACCTGTCGCTGCCACATCACTACTGGGGGGGACAGGGGTCACTGCCATGGGTGTGGAACACAGTGACGCATGCGCTTCGGTGAGCTTCGCTGGTTGGTTGCTGTTGGCGAATTACTGAGCTGAGCACATGCGAATTAAAGAGAGAATCGTGAATCTTAGGCGCAGGGTAACGTTGCTTCAGATGCATAAAAGTTCGCTTCTGCAGGAGGTGAGGAGCTCGTTTGTTTCGTCAATGTTCGTTCCAGCTAGCATGTCACGAGGGCTGGCATCAGCCGAGGCGCCTTCGTGGTTGCTCACACAGACCCACACCCACTCGCCACAACTAGGAACAGGTGGGTCATCAACCACTTCAACAGGTCTGCCCTCGCGAGGAGTGCGGACCGCGAAGTGTGGATCACTCGAACTTCCAGCTGTGTACCCGAGGCGCGAACCAGGTATCAATCCCAGTTTGAGAGGAACTACACCGAGTTTGCTGCACAATATATACATTCTGAAATATTTCAGAAAACCAAGGATAAGTGGTGACAAACGTATGTATTTGTCTCAAATGTTACTATAAGGGACAGAGTTGAAAACTACTGGCTATGAAGATGAGTGGACGTGATGATTCGATGAGTTTAAGATGGTTTTGATATAAGACAGTTACCGGCAGAAACAATTGCAATGGAAAACGTAGGAACGGAGTCGAATGGTTTCCGTACTGCACAACTGCAATGTATCTGTAAAGTGTCAAACTGTGTGTTCTCTCTAGGCTATAGTGGGTTAGCCTACAAGAGGTTTGGTTTTCTGCGTACTGCACAGCGGCGACAGCAGAGTCAACAGGAGACCTTCTCCTCGCAGCTGCATAGTGAGTTGTTTTCTCAGCGATGTGTCCCGGGTTCTGTAGAGGCTGCAACTCTAGGTGCTAGTGAGTATGCTGCCGCACTAGGTGCTAGTGAGTCTGCTGCAGCTTTAGGTGCTCGTGCGTCTACTGCCACAGGTCCTGCCTCACTTGAGGCCTTGCACACTTTCACACTTGACGCAGGCGCGTCACAAAGCCTCTTTTGTGACTGCACCACACTCACACCACTTCCTGCACCGGTACCAGTCTCACTAGCTGACCCCACTGGGGGCCCAGTAGTCGCACGAGCCTCCAATGTCCTCGCTTGTCCAGCAGTCCCCTCCGGGTCTCTTTCAGGTCTCCACCTCCCCGAGTTCTCGACGAACTTGTTGAGCAACGCAGTTCTCCAGGATGCATGGGTTGACACCTTCATTCCTAGAGAACAGCGGGTGGCGATCTGCAAGTGCTCACGGACTAGCCGTCACCTTACTACGTTCACTCGTCAGCCTGGGTCCGGATTGTACACACTGACCACTGCGTCTGCACAGGTGGCTGAGTCAGGTCAGGTGGCTGGGTTGAGTCGGATGTCTGCGTCTGGTCACCTTGCAGCGTCTTGCTCGTGTCGGGTACTCTCTCACCAGACTCTTCTCTGGCACCACCGCCTAGGTCACCCCTCGTTGCCGCGTCTCCGCAGCATGCACTCTCGTCTCCTTGTCTCTAGCCTTCCCAGGTCCCTGCCCTCCCTCCCGTGCTCACCTGCACCACCATGCCTTCCCTGCGTCGAGGGGCGGCAGCGCGCCGCTCCTCACTCCTCCGAGTTTCCTCCGATCACTGCTCCTCTGCAGACTCTCCATATGGACGTGTGGGGCCCGGCCCCCGTCGGTGGAACGGACCAGGAGCGCTACTTCCTGCTAGTTGTTGACGACTACACACGCTACACCACTGTCTTCCCCTTGCGGCGCAAGGCGGACGTCAGCGGTGTTTTGATCCCCTGGATCAGTGCTACTCGTTGCCAGCTGGGCGA